TTGTTTAATAATAATAATAATAAAGGCTTAACCTGCAAATGTAAACTGTTCCAAAAAGCTGCCTTTTGTAACCAATGGATGATTTTCTCAATGCCAAGGAGTTCAAGTGGTGCTCCAGATATAGATTGAAGAAAGCACGTATCGCTATTGGTACTGCCTTTCCTTTCTTTTGCCGCAGTCATTCTCTTTTTATTTGCAAGCCTTTCTCTTTTGCATTTTCTCCAGTTTTTTTTTTCTCTTTTGCTATCTCCAGGTATTGCCATGTCCAGTATTCTGACTTTTTAAATTTGTCTTATTGACAGAATTGTTAAGTCTGGAAGGTTGCATGGCATGTACTTGTCGGTTTGAATTCTAAATCCCAGAACATTTTAGTTCCTTCATTTCATATTGTTTTGTTTATTGTATGTGGGAAATCTATAGTTAGATTAACAGTTTAAGGCTGATAAAAACTTAATACTAAAAGTAAAATGCATAATTAAAATACTAAAAAACTAAAAAAAATGAAAAGTTACATTCAGAGTATAAGACAAAAAAAGAGTACATTTTAACAATATACAATGTAATCATTTAACAGACTCCATTCTTCCTTAGGATCCCCACGCCCAATATTAACAATATCTTGCCCAATTGGGGTCAAGATATTGCTACATTTTGTAGCAAAACATGCTTGAATACAAAAATAAATGAACAGGACCAGGGGATGTCATGAATTAAGTTTATTCCTATCATGAAAACAAAAAGACTGATGGATAAGAACAAGACATGTGGTTCAATCAATGGCATCTTACCTTTGGCTGTATTAATGAAGTAGGGAGAGATGTAGCCTCTATCAAACTTCATACCTTCAATAATTTCCAACTCATCGTTCAAAGTTTTTCCATCCTATTTTTTTTGAAAGATTTGGAAAATTAACTAGTCTTGTTGGAAGTCAACCACACTTTCCTCTTCGCTGAGTAAGAGGAAAATGCTCAATTTGTAATAATTGAAATTACCAAACCCAGTTTAATTTTGGTGCATAACATGTGCATCTTATTCCCCAACTTAAATCTTCTATTAACAAATGCTATGAAGGCTCCTAAACATCATACTTCACTTTTCATTAGATGCTTTCAGTAAATCTTAAAATGCTATCGTAAAACAAAAATAATATAAGGAACACAGTGCAACCCTTACCTTCACTGTAATAACCCCTTTCCGTCCAACCTTCTTCATGGCATCGGAGATTATGTTACCAATTTCTTTATCCCCATTTGCTGATATTGTGGCAACCTGCATAGATAAATTATATATTACGTTCTCTAGGAAATTAAATACAAAATTCTCATTTTAAAAACTTGGTAACATGACACCATACCACACATTTAAAGAGTATGTTTCCAAATTAGGAGATTTTATTAGGCATATTAAACAGTGTAGCCTAAACAATATATCCATTTTTCAAAGCACGTTGGAAAACAGAATCAGTTGCTTGAGGCTGAGATAACATTACCTGAGCAATTTCTTCTGGCGTTGTGACTGGCTTGGACAATTTCTTCAATTCATTAATCACAGCCTCCACAGCAAGCATCACACCTGAAAAAACAAAAAGGTATTCATTTAAATAATCAACAGACCTAACAGTAAATAGATATTTAAGAGATATTGTCCTCACATTCTCCCCATATCAAAGTTATTATGGTAAAATCTCTCTCCGTTACATATACACAATTTTGTCTCAAATAAATAGACACCAGTCTATTACTATGACGACCATATTCAAATCTGTTATGTCTCAGAAGAAATAATATGAGGAAGCGGAGGTAAACTGCTTTATTTTGCATTTTCCCAGTCAACGTTATCCAGCACTGTAATAGTGAAGGGAAAATGGACATAGTCATTTAAGACAGCTGTATGGGAGGAAGAGTTTAGAAACAGTGTTGTATCAAGAGTCAAGAAATTTAAATCAGAGCCTCATACTCTTTATAACCGGTATGTAAATATTTAGGTTTGTATGACTCCAAATGATCTAGCTACAGTTAGATTACAATCCACACAATTATGAAAATATACAGCCGTGATGGTGAGCCTATGGTCCGTGTGCCACAGGTGGTACGCAGAGCCCTTCTGCAGGCACATGAGCCTTTGCCCAGCTCAGGTGCATAGTGCATGCGTCTCCCGCCAGCCAACTGATTTTCAGGTCTCTGCTGCACATGCAGGAAATGTGCACACATGCTTCGGAGGCAGTGCACACACTCCACGCTCTGTTTTTGGTGCAAAGAGGCTTCAGGGAGGGCCTCCAGAGCCCGAGGGAGGCCGTTTTCATCCTCCTGGAGGCTTGAGTAAAGCTAAACATGAAAAACAGGACTCTCGGAAGATTTTGGCACACGATGACAAAAAGGTTAGCCATCACTGATA